AACCAGATTTTCCTCTTCTAACATGAGTTAGTGACGTAACATTTGAGAGCCAATGGGAGGCGACCGCTGGGAGAAATATTTTCGAACAATTATCCCGGATACCCGGAGAATAGACACTGCGTATTTAGAACATACAGAATTGATGCATGCTTTGCTTTGCTCTGTTTCTCTAGATACATGGCACGTAGCCACTTTGGGGGACTGGCCAAGAGTGCAACGTAGAGACTGCTAAATGTTATTTTAGGTAAGCTATGAAACTTCAAACCAAAAATAAAGAACTGAAACGGCAATAATACGTAATATATTCAATTTAACTACAAGTATTATGCTTTTGAGCCTGTATTCCAGACTGCCGTATTAACCTGACGGGAAAAATTTTGAAAACATAAGTTTCAACTTAGCCAAATGACGAAGAATTTCAAATACTAGATTAAAATGGTACTCGTTGAGTAGTTTTAATGAAATTGCACACGACATCAAAGGCATCCCTGTGGCAGTACCCCATACCTGAGGATCCGAAGCTTAAACCATTTTCCTCCATTGCCTTAACATCATTCTCTCTATTCTGCGATACCACGCGCACATCCTCATCTTCTTTCTTATATACACCAGGCGGCATGCGGCGGTGCGTGGTTGATGACATCAGCTCCGGCAGGCTTCTTCTGCAACAAGCTGCCGGACAGTGAACGTAAGCGGTGGCCTGAATGAACCTACAGGGGGTAGATCGGGCTGCGGGAGGACAGAGGACAGAAAATACACCTCCACCACGTATGATATATTGGTTGCGACTGCGTCTATTCGAGCGAGGACCTCACAAAACGAGTGGTCAGAACCTGTACACAGATGATGACGATGATGATGACACACAGAGGCGTTGAGGACGAGACAATCACGCAGGTATGAGGACGATGTAAAGAAACGCCCACTATATATATATATATATATATATATATATATATATATATATATATATATATATTGTCACGGTTGAATAAAAGGATAGGTGGATTTATTTACAAGGTGAGGATGAAGTTCGGCAGTCGCGGTAAAGATAGAGTCCTCAGGCCACACCAGACAACGTCGTCTTCTTCTTCTACCTACCCGGCACATACTACAGCCCGGCTCATACCGTAGCAATCCCCGGTTCAGAGACGAAGCCCGCTGGGCGAGTTTATGTCACTGGAGGGATGAAACTTCTTGAGGCATGCCACGTGCACCAACTGCGTTCGATTTGACCGGCGAGAAGGTGTCGACAAGCGTGTCACAACGTACTTCAAGTCAGTCAAGCGATGTACAATGACGTAGGGGCCTGTGTACTGCGGTAAAAACTTCTGACATAAACCACGTTTTCGTTCGCGGTTCTACAACCACACGAATTCACCTTTGCGGAATGAAATGGCTTCATGGCGTTGATCGTACCGTTGCTTGGAGCGATGTTGTGATGCCAGTGTGCGCAAGCGAGCAATTTGGCTAGCTTCTGCAGCCCGGCACAATGTTTAGGCCACGGACTCATTGGTATAGAGCTTAAATTGGAGGATTAGATCAAGGGAGCTGCCTGGTGATCGAGCGTATAGCAGGTAGAAGGGCGTGAAGTCCGTGGTCTCGTGCTTCGCTGTATTGTATGCATGAGTAATAAATGGTAAGATCTCATCCCAGTTTTTGTTACTGGACGCGACGTACATTGCGAGCATGTTAGTAAGAGTTCGATTGGTACGTTCTACAAGACCATCCGTCTGGGTATGGTATGGTGTCGAATGTCTGAACTGTGAAGTGCAGAGGCGAAGCAATTCTTCCACAGCGTGCGCGATGAATTGGCGACCACGGTCACTGATGATTACTTGAGGTGGACCATGGCGAAAGACAACGGAGCGTAACAAAAAGGCAGCGACGCCATCAGAAGATGGTATCGCAGCGGTTTCGGCGTATCTTGTAAGGTGGTCGACGCACACTATTATCCAGCGGTTGTTGTTCGAAGATCGCGGAAACGAGCCCAATAGGTCGATGCTCACTTACTCGAAAGGCGTAGTAGGCGGTTCTACGGGATGTAGAAGGCAGTGCGGTGCACTGGTAGGTCGTTTGTGGCGCTGGCAATTCTCGCAGCTCGAGATGTATTTTTTCGTAAAATCTCACATTCGGGGCTAGTAAAAACGCTGCTGCACTCGATGCAAGGTGCAAATGAACCCAAGGTGTCCTGACGTTGGATCATCGTGCATAGTACGGAGGACGTCGCATCGAAGACTTTGAGGTACAACCAGTAAATAACGTGCGCCGGTTGCTGAGTAATTCGCTCTGCACAACAGTCCATCACAAATGCGAAAGCGACCACTGCCTTTGAGATTTCGAGCGTCAACGAACAAAGGGTCTAAAAATAAATCATTCAATTGTTCTCGTTTGAAGATATTGGCGTCAGGAAACGTGTGAAAGACCACAGTAAATTAGATGTCAAGGGTATCTGCACTGTCCTCTGTCGAGGCCATAGGTAGGCGAGAAAGGCAATCAGCGTTCGAATGACGTCATCCACTTCTGTACGAAATGCTGAAGTCAAATTCTTGGAGGCGCAAAGCCCATCGAGCAAGGCGGCCAGAAGGGTCTCGCAGGGTAATAAGCCAACATAATGAATGATGGTCTGTCAGAATTGTGAATGGACGACCGTAGAGGTAACATCGGAAGTTCTGAATGGCGAATACAGCCGCTAAGCATTCTTGCTCTGTCACCGTATAATTCATTTCTGCCTTGCTTAGAGATCGACTCGTATAAGCAACAACTTGCTCTGCATTATCATAGCGCTGAACAAGCACACCTCCGATGCCAATTCCACTTGCGCCACTGTGCACTTCTGTAGGAGCAGAAGGATCAAAATGACTAAGAATAGGCTCAGATGTTAGTAGAAATTTCAGTTCAGAAAATACGGCATCACACTCAGGTGTCCATTCGAATGGGCTGTCTTTTCCAACAAGCTCGTCAGTGGGTGTACTACGTCCGCGAATCGGGGCACAAAGCGGCAAAAGTAGGAACATAGACCCAAGAAACTGCGAAATTCCTTCAGTGTCTGGGGTGATTTGAATGTGCCGACTGCTTCGATTTTGAGGGGATCCGGCCTGACGCCATCTTCGTCAACTAGGTGACCGAGGACTAAAGCTTGTCGTTCACCAAACGGGCACTTCATAGAGTTCAAAATCAATCCAGCCTTTCCGACACAGTCTAAAGCAAGGCTTAAACGGACGTTGTGCTCTTCGAAGGTACACGCAAAAATGACGACGTCATCCAGGTAGCATAAGCACATCTCCCATTTAAGACCACGAAGGACAGAGTCCATAAACCCTTCCAAAGTGGCGGGGGCGTTGCAAAGCCCAAACGGCATTACATTGAACTGGTACAGTCCATCAGGCGTCACGAATGCGGTCTTCTCCTTGCCTGAAGGGTGCATAGGTATCTGCCAATATCCTGATTGTAGGTCTATTGAAGAAAAGTACAAAGCCGAGTGTAAGCAGTCAATAACATCATGAATCCTAGGCGGCGGATATACATATGTTTTGGTCACGGCGTTGAGTCTTCTGCAATCAAAGCAGAACCGCCAGGCACCATCTTTCTTCTTAACCAAGATGACCGGTGCTGCCCACGGGCTACACGACTCTTCAATAACATCCTTCTTCAGCATTTCCTGAACCTGGTCGGCAACAACGTTTTGTTCTGATGACGACACTCAGTAAGGCTTTTGTCGGATCGGATGGGCAGTGCTGGTGTCAATCCTATGGTAAGCGTGAGAACATGGTAAAGGTAGTGGCTTCTGCTCTTGGCAAAAGCCAAACACAGAAGCATGTCGCCTCAACAGATGGCTTAACGTCTGCTGCTCGTGTGACCGCAAAGTGACGCTAATCATGCCTAGGATCGGCGACTCGTAAAAGCAACTGCGCTTGCCAGAGACTGTACCTTTCTCGCTTTCATCCTTGTTAACGACCGCTACAGAACCTTCAGTGAAATGTTCGAAGACGCCAAGCTTCATTCCTCAAGGGAGCACAACCGGCATTGGCAAACAGTTCAGTGGCCACAGAAAGGTTGCTCCTTCATCAACAGATACCAAACAACGAGGGACGAGTATGCGTTTCTTAGCACATCGAAAGATGGGAGGTTCAACGATGGCGTCAAAAGATGCGGAAGATTCTGGGGTGAACACCGCAACAGACATCATTGACCATAGCGACACTGTGAGCTCATCGGAAACAATCAGAGCGTCCTTCGCGGCCTGCGGCACCTCATCGACGAGGGCAGGAACAATGTCACCGCTGACGGAAAGTTCACCGCTTCTACAGTCGACGAAAGCGCCATATCCTTGAAGAAAGTCAAGACCGAAAATCACATCGTGGGTACAACGTTTCAGCACAAGAAACTCTGTTGGGAACACCTTTCCTGCCAATAAGACATTGGCGGCACAAACTCCGACAGAATAAAGTACTTCCCAACCAACACCACGAAACCTTGTTGATTCGCCCCAAGAAAACATAACTTTGCGGCCAATGCGACTTTTGAAAGTCGGGATTCGACTTTCAAAAAGTCGAATCCCGACTTTTTGAAGTCGCCTTTCAGAAAGGTGACTTCAAAAAGTCGACTTTCAGAAAGGCCCCGGGATTCGATCCTGCGACCTGCGGGTCCGCAGCCAAGTACGTTAGCCACTAGACCACTGCGGCGGGGCAATATGTAGAGTGGGAAAGGTGCCGCAACATGCCGAAATCACAGAATACTTTCGAATTGTAACATCGCAATGCAGCTCCGGCACTTAATGATACTTTGAGTGAGCACCTTCTGCCTTTTTATAGCTTGGGTGTTTTTCTCGTTTAGCGAAACAAAACTTTTGTGGGTGAAGACGGGCCCCTGAAAATTGCGTAACACGTGTAAAGTTATCATAGCCTTATTTCTCCGTACGTCGTCATATGCATATAACATTGTGGGTCACTGTGTGTGAATTGATATTTCCTTAATTGCGCGTTTCAGATTGCAAGAGGATGAGTTACCCGACGGCTCCAGGGCATGACGTGAACGCCGACGCTGTAGGGCAGATGTATCCTTTAGGCAACCAGTGCTACCAAGCATCAGGTATGCAGAGGCAAATGACACCATCAGTATATCGGGCCATCCAGAATGCCCTGCAGGCGGCCATCCTCGATGCACAGCAGCAACAGCAGCAGCGGTACGCTATGGCAAATCTTGGCTGTTACCCAAACGCGACGGCTGCCTTTTACCAGGCATCCGTGCCACCTCAGCAGCAGCAGCAACAGCAGCACCAACAGCAGAAAGAACAGCAGCAGGAACCACAGCAAAATCTCATCCAGCAACAGCTTCAACAACAGCTTCAGCAGCAGCAACATTTGCAAGAACGGCAACGGCTACAGCAGGTAGAACAACTGCACCTGCAGGTACAACAACTGCACCAGCAGGTACAACAACTGCACCAGCAGGTACAACAGCAACTGCAGCAGCGAGTACAGCAGCAAGTACAACAGCTTCAGCAGCAGTAACAACAGCAGCAACAACAGCAGCAGCAACAACATCAGCAGCATCAAGAGCACCAACTGCAGCACCAACAGCAGCAGGAACAGCAGCAAAATTTCATTCAGCAACAGCTTCAACAACAGCTACAACAGCAGCAACATTTGCAAGAACCGCAACGGCTACAGCAGGTACAACAACTGCACCAGCAGGTACAACAGCAACTGCAGCAGCGAGTACAGCAGCAAGTACAACAGCTTCAGCACCAGCAACCACAAGAGCATTACGCGCGCCAGGCCCAGATGTACCAGAACTACCCGACGCAGGCCTATGCCATGCCGTACACCACCCAGGCGTCATACCAGCAGGCGCCAGACTTCCCGGCTTCCAGAAGCTACGGAGCAGCCCAGACGGGGTACCCGCTGAACGGACCGACGGGTTACTTGGCCAGCTGGCCAGGGGCGTCTACTAGTGGTGGTTAGTATATTCATTTATCGAATTTAATTGAGGATATTGCGGAAAGCACTCACGTGCGACGCTGCACATTCACTGCAGCTGTACGTAGTAATTTAGAATATATTGCAGTAGCGTTTCAATACAGGGACACTCACTATGCTCAAAATAACACAAACAAAACGAGAGCATTATTCTCTCCTGACATTTCTTGTCCTCTTCTTGCAGTTCTTCGACGTAGACAGTGATTCCCGAGACGTCTGTAGTGTAAATGCTCTGGATTAGTGCATATACGCAAAATATCAAATGTGATTGGTCTCCTGCTCTTTTTGCCATGCAGCGGTCTATGCGCTCTTTCTTGTGTCGTATGAATATCGCGCACGACCAACCAATCACACTTCATTTTTTGTGTTTACAACTGCGCAAGAGGTGCATGTAGCCGAGAAGCGCGAAATAGGCTCTAGAGGTTGGTGTTGACATTGTTCACGTGCTCTCGAGAACTTAACAGCGAGGAGGATGCATAGCGTGGGGAAAGGATAGGGATTGAGAGGGGAAAAGCACCTCCTCGTTTTTGAACACTGGGCGCTGAGTGCCTCTTTAAATCTATCTATCTATCTATCTATCTATCTATCTATCTATCTATCTATCTATCTATCTATCTATCTATCTATCTATCTATCTATCTATCTATCTATCTATCTATCTATCTATCTATCTATCTATCTATCTATCTATCTATCTATCTATCTATCTATCTATCTATCTATCTATCTATCTATCTATCTATCTATCTATCTATCTATCTATCTATCTATCTATCTATCTATCTATCTATCTATCTATCTATCTATGTACCCACTTACAAGTTTTAGCTCTCTACGCAGTTTTGATAATGGAATCTATACCAAATTTTGCATGGAATAACAGGATATCATGTCAAGCATCAGTGACTAGTCATGACATGAAATTCATGACATGTATGTCATATATATTGCGACTTATATTTGATTGTCTTGCTGCTTCCACAGTGGTTTCGTTCACATGACATAATGGAACACCGGTACGGTAACATGACTGCTTGGCGATCATGAGTGACAGGCCCGAACTTGAAAATAATGACTCGCAGGTCATATAAGTCATGACTATATGCCAAGCTCATGATGCGCTCGTGGTCGTTTCGCTAGCTTCACATATATCAAATTCGGCGATGTATAAATGGCGAAGGCATATGAGTGGTGGAAACATGATAATCAAGAAATGCGTGTCATGTAAGAACATCAAAACATACCACGCTCAGCTCACGGCCGTTTCGCTGGCTTCACATGCAACGAATTGGGTAATACTTTATGATAACGGACGATGAAGGTAAGTTACACGTCCAAACAAGATTATCATGACATGCGTGCCGTTTGAAACATGACTACATGCTACGCTCATTGCGCGCTTGCGGCCGTTTCGCTGGCTCCACACGTGCCGAATTCGGTATGACGTTACGTAATAGACGGCCAATGTAAATGACGCGTTCAACCATAATAATTGTGAAGTGGAAGTTTTGTACGCTATAATTTACGTTCCCCTCGTAGCATTGTGCTCATATTAGAGTTACATTTCGACCTTCCCGAATCATGCTTCTAATATCATCGATTCCCACTGTACGTGGGTTCTGGCGTATTGTTTCGATATGTTAAGATAACGTTAAAAGAGGATTATTGCAGATTTAGAGAATGGTACGCTATCCAACTGTTTCGTTAACCTTATTTTTTAAGCTTTGTGACGCCGGAAATGAACCTAATGCGCCGATTTGCTTTGAATAACTTGATATATATCTCATGTACACCGAAATATTTTTGTTGTGTCAATAGTTTAAGTCGTCCGATGGCACTTGGTATTTATTTATGGCGTTAAGGAAAAAAGTGAATATTGGGAAGATTGCTGCACGAACGCATTGTTAGCCGCAATATCGAGGTTTAGCACGGTCCTGGAATTGTAGGAACGATATTTTGGCCATACGTAGTTTACTGTACGTCACGGAATGCCTTATCTGTGGCTGCGGCTCTAGAAACACAAGTATGGCAAGCATACTAACATAAATACACATAATAATAAAAGTTTAATTTAGACCATCAGCTAGGCGGCAAAGAAATGTCATTACTATAAATAAGTGGCAAATCAAGGGTTTTTGTATTGCTTAAGTAATATAAATACCAGCATTACATGAGCACATGAAGATGGCAGTTTATTTCAGTCTTTGCTTATTTTATGCTGCGAAGTGTTGTTGAAAGCGGCTTTGTTTCAGAGTGGTGTGTTAACGCATGACCACGGCGAGATAAATTGAAAGGTGAACGCTGAATCCAGGAGGAACATTAATACTCACGGATTATTACGGTACATCCCTTAGGCATTTTGCTGTCAACTAACTTGTCACAAGCCTACGAGAACACCATGCGTAAACGGACATGTATATCAGGTTGGCGTGAATGGAACCTGCCAAGAAGTGGGGTAAGGGGGTTGGAGTTATGGAAGTGAATTCTTATATGCTTACGTACACTACGGACTTTAGCAGGCCGGTCTGACGTATGTTTAAGAATCTTAGGTTGACCCAGCCGCCTTACTGAGTGTGCTGCACCAGAATCTTGGAGAAATGCATCGCATAAATATGGTAAACGCCTTTACAGATAATATAAGTCTCGTATTTTCACTGGCTTGGACTAAACTGGAAGCGCCAGCATGAAGTGACGCATGGTTTTTAGGGTGAAAAGCTGAACACCAAGCAAGACGGACCACCCAAAAGAGATGAGATAAGCGCAGGCTTCTATTAGCGAGGCAGTCAATTTTACGCATCTTCAGTTTGCTAGCGAAAATTGCCAGCCATGAATGAAGAACTTGCACGTTCACAATCGCAAACCTACCAAGTCCCATTTAACAAGGGCTTTTTGGTTCTCGATATGATCTAAGTGTGGATGTAAAGGATGTTATAGCTGTGACCACATTTGCGGTTCGTTTCATGAATTGTCTTGAGACGTCGTGATGGTCTTTCTTTTTTTTTTATTTTGCGCTCTCAGACAGACAGTCAAACAGTCCATGGGCCGCTTTCCAGCAAGCGACCGGGTTGTGGGAACCTCGGCGTCTCTCACCGCAGAACGCCGACGCCGGTCGCCAAATTTACTACTGCAGTAAGTGTCATTGCGTTTTTTTTTATCTCATACTGTCGTCTCAGAAGTGTTATAGAGCCAGACTTAGCAGCCTTGCCACTGGGACCCCCTTTTTCCTAAGCGCCGCCATATATGCATTTAATAGGGGAAGGAGTTGGTCTTTCGTGCAAATTATTCGTTCGCACCTGCAATCCTGCCCTCTCCTTTAAGCATATTGTGCACCATGCTCAGTTAGCCTCAGTTGTTGACGCGTCAATGCTAAGCTGTTGGTTCACAATAGCTAATTATAGCTTTCGTTAATTTAAACAAATGTCATTGCCAGGGTGTTGGACGTCCCCCCTTCCCCATTTTTTTTTCTGCGAAATGAAATGGTTTTTGCCGGGTTGCTCCAGGACTACTGTGGCATATTGCCGTTTTAGACATGACATTGATAAAAGGGACGTTAACGGATTGCAAAGAAAAAAAGTTGCAGAGAAGAAAGAGTATCCGCTGTCGGAAATCGAATCTATGACCTCTCGGCCCGCAACAGTAGGGCCAGGTGCCTAAACCATTACGTTTCCGAGGCACATGCGCGATACGTCAAAAACGCGCTTTTTATCTTTCGCACATTCTGTCTCGCATGGTGCTCTCTGTTGGCGGGGCTAGTTGGGGCTCCAGTGTGCATCGAGGCGTGCACCCCAAAACGCTATTCAAGGAACCTCCGAAATGCGCGGTTGTGCGAGCATCTGTGAGGCAAGTGACGTAACGAGTCCTAACGCTTACTAGCGCCGATAGGCATCGATTCGGTGTCGACGCAGCTGAAGGATTGCTCCGAAATCACGCACATTGGTAAATCGACTCGATACCAGCGAGCATGCCACTGAAGAAAGCTGGTCGTGCAGAGGAGTGTTGCTCAAGACGCAGTTAGGTCAAATAAATTTGCTTCCTATTATTGTGGCACGGCTCGTTTTCGGAGTAATGAGGCTTCCGCATTAACCAACGGTGTTTTTCCGCCGCCCACCGCTTCGAGTGTGATAGAAACGACTAATAAAACTGCAGCAATAAGAATAGCAGAAACGTCCACGGGCCAATGTCGTGCATTGGTAGAGCGAGACAGACGCCAGAGGTACGTGGAATGCCAGCGCGTGTTTGCGGTACAGGCTACGAACCTCTGCCTCCCGTGATGCTGACACGCAGTGTGGTGGAGTATGAATGAGCACAGGCGTAGGTTGCCCTAATTCTCGGGAGCGCAAAACATGACATTTCTCTCCTTAATTGAGGACGCTTTGAAGGGCATATTGAGTTCCGTGGCGACAGAAAATGGCGCAAAGAAACGGGGACACAAGACGAGGACACACGGCACAGGCGCTATCCCCGTCTTGTGTCCCCGTTTCTTTGCGCTATTTTCTGTCGTCACAATGCACCAAAAAGCCCAAATTTCGACAGTGTTGAGTTCCGTGGGTTTTTTACGTGCTTGTTGATGCCATCTTTGTGCGTGATTTACGATACGTTGTGTCTGTGTATAAAATTTAAAGACTTAAGCTATCACAATGGTTATATCTGGGTAGTATCACAATGGTTTTATCTGGGTAGTATAACAATGGTTATATCATAATCTGGGTCGTTAGTCGTCGCAATGGAGACGTGCCACTAGGCCTCAAAGTGGGTGCATCCTCGTCAAATGGTGCTGTAGCTTCCAAACGGCAGACTCTGTACAAAGTTTGTTTCACAATAAAGAAGAATTAAACTGATAGATTGATTGCTTGCTGGATTGATTGATATATCGTTACGCAAAAAACACTCATTTCGTGAAGACAATTTTCCCTTTTCCTGTTATACCGATTTCAATGATGGAGGGATCAGCCACGTTTTTTTTTTCAGAACGCAACTGTG